ACTCGTGTGGAATTTGCATAAAGTTGCGGGGTGCAAGTATTTTCGATCCCATCTGTAGATCTATAACCTATAAAAAGATACTATAGCTCGAATAAATATAACAGACGGAATGGGGAAAGCAAGTTCCTAGGAGATGCTGCTTCTCTGTGGACTCTCAGGCATTATCAAAGGCTTTTCTTTGTGCAGATACGTTTGGTATCAGGCGTAAGCTTTCTACTGTTTTAGTTTTGTTGTATATCCAGGCAAAGCTCAAAGAACCTATAGCATTTATGATTTACTAGGTATCAAATTTTCTATGCTCACTGCTGTATCCAACTCCCTTCATTTCCCCCTGGAAATCTAGTGGTTTTGTAATTTGCATAAATCAATTCGGGATTATCCACGGCGGTGTGGTATCACATTTCTAATTATGTGTATGGCATTTTTAGTTTGTTTAATTTATGCAAATTGTCGCCGGGCCAAATGGAACCAAACCGTACAACATTCTCTGATTAATTGTTTGTGGTGAGTTAATTATTTTTTATATTACTCGTGGAGAGTGCAAAAAACTGGTGGTAGCCGGGAGACATGGCCAAACACGCACTGCAGCAGTAATTTCCTTTTGTTGTTCAAGTGGCAATTTAATTAAGCCATTTAAAAGCTCTAAATATTAGCAATTAATATTAATGCAGCCGCATAAACGCCTGCGACAGTTTACACGATTTAATTATAGATTATGGCCAGCTATTACATTATTTAGCCAAGTGGTTGAAAGGGCGTGGCATCAGCGATGATTAATACAATTGAGGCATTCTAGAATCTGAAATTTATGGGATATTTAAATGGTTGTTTTTAATGAATATTTGAATAAAATATTACTTTTTTTTTCATAGTTGAAAATGAAAATTTGGTTATCCATCACTCAGAGATGAATTGCATATTAAAGAACATTTTTCTCAACTCTCAATCATTTTTCAATCATCTTACAATAGTATTGACTCGATTGGATCTCGTTTGCTGATGCTGCTGCTAGAATCGCCTTAGCCGAACAATTCTAGTTTATTATGCCAATTAAAAGGACTCTGATGCTAATGCGATTTGTGCACAACAAGGCGATATTGTGCAATGATTACGCCGCACACAGCACAGTTCCCCTTAATTGGACTCATCTTTTAATTGCCATATTAAGCACGCTCGATAAGTATACGCAGTGTGGCCGATGCACACTCGGGCGACACACACACACACACAGACATGCTCGCATGCTCAGACAATGGCAAGCAATTATGCATGAAGACGGTATTTAGTTGAAATTGATTGCTCACCCAAAATGAGGACAGTTGCGGGTTGTATATTGAGGAGAAATGCTAACCCCAAAATATTCGATGTCTCTCCAAGGCCAGCCAGGTGTGGAAATGTGTGAGGTTTTGTGTCAGTATGTGTCTGTATCTGTATCTGTGTGTAGAGCATTAGTATAACCGTGTGTGAGTGTGTGCACTCAATTAAGCATCTTGCATGTCGCACAAATATTGCAGCCTAGACACAATTTTCATCCTGCACTCGACAGCCGTTGGTCTCGTTAATTGATAAACTTGCTTCAAGAAACTTTTTGCTTGACATTAGACATTTTAGGAATTTGCAAAAGTTCCAAACAGCAATTGAAAAAGTGTTTTTGCCAAATAGAGAGATGTTTGTATATATTAAAAGCAGCAAATGAAGTGCTAAGAAATTTCAGAAAAAGAAATGCGAGGAGTATGACAAAATGTATGCTTAAACACACAGAATTCTGCACAAAAGATATCCTGGATCATTGGGATAACAAAAATCCATGGCAGTTAATTTAACTTACAAGATATTTTTTTCCAAAACGTTCATTTTCCGCATTTATTCATCCTTTCAAAGCATACAAATTTCTTTAGAACTTTCTAGCAAGCATTATTGCACAAATCCAACAAATCTCTACACAAAATATTTTTTATAATATTTTCCTCTAACAATTTCAATCAGAAACTTCAGCTTCATTTATTTGTATCCATGTTTACTTCCGCAAATTTCGGCTCTCCACTCAATTTCGGAATAAATCGAAGTCGTAGCAAATGCTTGACCCAAAAAATGTTTCTTGAGAAATTGCATTTATTAATGCAAAATAGGAAATTTCTGCTCAGCTGGTCAAACGGTTTTGCGTGGATGGGCCGAGATGGGCCAGGGCCGGGCCACATGTGTGCGTTGGTTTTGGCCCAGGTTGAGGGTCCGTCCGGCAAAGCAATATCCTTCAACAGCTCCATTTATTACGATATTTATGTGCGGGCGTAAATCAAGAACACAAATGGAATGGAATTAATAAATGAGTCTACACGTTTCAGCAGCTGCAGGAGCTGCCGCTTGAGCTGCTGATGAAAGTTTTGCCTTCCCAGTGATTTTTGTTGTTCAAACTTTGGTATGGTCGAGTGCTATAGGATAAACCTGAATCGAAATAATACTTTTATGTAATAAATTTTAAGAAAATGATTTTAAATCTTGTTTCGCTATTTTGCGATGATATTTTATGTGTTTCGACTTTCTTTTGAATTGGATTTCATTCCCTTACTTACCAGCTTCCAACTCAGTTAATTCAATTTAAAAAACAACAGAAAGTAAACACATAATAAAATGAAATTATATAAATATTTGTGACTGTGCAAGCCACCACTTTTTATTGCAGGGAAGACTCTTGAAAGCATGCAACAATAAATTCATATTTTCAGGGAAAGGATTTTCAATTTACTGAGTTGTTACTCTCTTTTTCATATTTTATGTTAATTAAACTTGTTGCAGCGGTGGCGGTGTCTGTGCTGTTGCCCCTGTTTTTGCTGCAACTTGAAACCAATTACGAAGACACCCAGATACACATGTGGCACTCATACTCTGACAGCATGTTATGCTGCTTAATTCCTGCAACTGCAAACTCCTGCCGCCCTGCCCCGCCCCCGCTCGTTACTTCGTTAGTTACGAGTAGTTTTGACATGGCACAGAGCCGTAGCTGTAGCAGAAGCAGGAGCAGGATCCAGCACGGCAGCGCGCTCTCCAAAGCGTGAAATAACTTCCGTTGCAAATTTCATTTTCGTTGCACACACATTTTTTTATCCACACAAAATGCACAATGCAGACACACGAGATGCGAGTGGGAGTGCAAGTGGGAGCGTTCGCATTTTCAGATGGAAAGTTTGCTCCCCTTTTTGGCAGTGAATATGTTTTAATGAGCTTCAAATTATGATGCAGCGGGGTCTTGCTAGCACTTATAAGCTGCAAATAATGTTATACGTTTTCTTTCATAAATTTAAGCCAATTGAAGACTTTTAAACCACAAGCATTTGTTAAGGTATTTTATTTAAGCAAAAGTTTAAATTATTCTATGAATTTCACCATAATTTATTTAAAAGGAGATATGGAGATATCAAAATCATCATATGATAAGGAAAATTCCGTAGGTGGAAACTTTTTGCTGTTTTATTGGAGAATTAGAAAGAAAATTCTTTCCGCTGCCTTTGGCCAGTTAAAATTGCTGATTTAAATATATAGAATTTACTAACAAAAAGCAGAACATGTAAAGAATATTTGCATAGTTGTAAGCTCAAAAAATGTCGGTGCATTTCTTCTACTTTTTCTGTCTGTGTTCATTTCCAAGGCCTTGGCACTCTTTTCATTGCCTGGGGCCATCCGGAATTTATTTGGTAAAGTGTTGAAATGTTGCACAACTTAAATTAAAATGACTTTGTGAAGTAGCTTTTGCCTTCGTGTATTTCTGCCTTTTACTTCTTTGGGTTTGCTCGGTTTCGTTACCAAATGCGACTTTTGTGCTGCCGTGGAAAATAAAGTGCTGTAAATAATTTGAATTTAATACTTGATTGTTGTTCTCCTGTCCTGAAGTTTGTAATTATTTTCTTACTTCGCTTGCCACAAGTGTGAAAATCACCACAACTTTTTCGTGCGAAGCCATTTTCCTTATTTTCTCCAGCATTTTCTACAGTTTGCTGTTGATTTTGTTACTTTTTCCTGCCTCGGGACAGTCACAAAAAGTGTAGCAAAGTCTTTTTATATGGCTACACAAAGTTGTGCAGCGCAACAAAAGGGGACTGTGGAAGGGTTCTTGCACATTAAAAATGTATAGAAAATAATTTTGTAAATATTCGGTCAGTAGTTTGCAGTTTTCCTGCTTTTTACGGGTATACACTTGTAGAGGGTAATATTCATTTAACCTGATGTTGGCACAAGGCAGAGTGGTAAGCACTTTTAAATTCATAATGTATTAATTCTGGATCAGCCTGGCACAGTGAAGCACCTACATATTTACCCTCTAAGGTGAAGGATGAATGCATTCGGGCTTTTAAATAAAAATATGAGAACCTACCTCAATGAGCATCTTTTTCAAATATTTTATTGAGGATCTAGGGAGGTGCAGCAAGCTGGGAACACTTGACCGCTGTTCCTGCGTATGCGCCCAATTATAGCCAAATTAGTTGAATAAACAACTTTTCGCAGTCGAGCAGTTAGCAATAAAAATATCAAATGATATTCCGTTTCGAAAATTTTGAAATCAGTATAACAGTATTAAATGTTGTATAACATTGAATTACAGTTCTTATGAACATGGTTTGTGTCTTTGCTTATGCAACATAACTTTTGTATTGCTCGATTTGGTTTTCCACCACCAAAATACGAATGATCAGGGGGAGTGGAGTGTAAAACATCCACCTAAGTAGGTGGGAAAGGCCCGAGCAAGAAAGTGGTGCAACGAGAGAGAGAAAGAGAGAGAGAGAGAGAGAGAGAGAGAGTGAGAGAGGTAGAAACATGTTCTGATAACAGAAACCGGTTTTATTTTGTTTATTTTGTTTGGGTTGTTGGGTCGCTGGGTGATTTCTGGTTTTCCAAATTTAGAAACCACCGGCTGATTGGACCGTTCACTTGTCCATCTACATAGTTCTCATAAAATCTATTTATACATTAAAAAATATTACAAAAATATAAAAATTTTTCAACAAAACCATGGCTACAATGGATGATCATTTCAACAGAGTGCTGAGGAAAAATCCCACCATTCAAGATGACCTTCGTGCTATTTTCAAGAGCTCCGAATGTGACTCTCCACAGCGGTCAATCACGCTCTCGCAGATACGTGGCAAGTACACAAAACCCCAACTGAATGAAGTTGTTCACGTATACAGAAAAAAGTTTTCTTTTCTAATTGCATTTTTCATGTTGCAGCTGCTTACGGAGAGAGAACCGGCAAGGAGTTCCCCATCAAGGGTGGCACGCGCACCCAAATGTGTTTCATTTTGACAGTGCCATATATTTGCTGCTTCACCAGTCGAATTGGCACGTTGCGATTCTATTCGATTGACATTAATCAGGAGAGATAGAAGATATGTATGTATATGTATGTGCCCACATACATATGTACTCGTACAGGAAAGCATCTAGTCATTTGAGTGCAGCTTTTGTATAGCAATAAGAAAATTCGAAAAACATAAAACATATTTAGAGCCTTGAATATCAATAAACATGTCTCTTACCACTGTAGTTTATTGAATTTCTAGCTTAAATATACAGAGTATTGGTCTAAAGAGGCAGGACAGGATCTGTACTCTCATTCCATCACACACCATGGAACGAAAGAGCGGAAAGCAAACATATTATTCTATTCTATTATTATTGCAAAAATAATCAATTAAAAAACCTGTAAAAATATGGTGTTAGCATACGAAAATTCATCATAGCCTGTTTGATCTCCCGCTAAGTCCAACACATCGACAACATCCAATTTGAAATTGAAGTTCCATTCTGTAGAGTTCAGTTGTGTTTTTTTTTTTTGCAATGCAGCTGCCAATAGTCGAAATCAAGCGACAACAACAAACAGCAGCGGGCGGGGAAAGCCAGCAGCAAATCGGAAAACCTCAATGTACAAATAAATGGATGAGTGACAGCATGTCCGTACGTACTCGTACATCAAATCAAATGAATTTGCTCCCGCAGCTTTGCAGACCTACAAAACGAAAAAGTAGAACACCAAAGCCAAACAACTAACAACCAAACAAACAAAGCGGGGGCCGACAGCAGGCCAAATAAACCATCCCGAAAGCCCCCAACTGAAAGCCGAGGATGATGCGGCGGCAATGGCAGGCGGTGGCGGCGTCACGCAGTCGCAGAATCTCAGATGTCGTGGATCCAGGACCCAAAGCAAAGCATAATGAAACTAAATGCCGAGCGAAGAAAAACCCCAAAACAAATTCATTACGGAACTACACCTCAGGGGGTGATAATTCGATTCAACGAAACTTTGGTGATTATTTATTGCTTCATGCGGCGACTCCTACTACTAACCAAACCGCCCCCACTCTCCCTCTCTCTCTGTGGCGCTGTCTGTGTGGCTGAGCGTGGTTGTGGCATACAGTTCGAGGTGTGTGCTGGGGCAACTTCGGTTGTGTTGGTCGGTCGACTGGGTTGCATGTCCCGAGAGCTGTCCCCATGGTGTTTTGCTGTTAGTGTCATAAAATGTTTTGTGGCCCAAAACTCTGGCCCTGGAACTCATTATTTTGTTCATTAACACTTTTTTTTGTTTTCTGCCAGCTGTTTATTTTTTCCTCCGCATTGGTGTTTGTTTTTACTATTTTTTGTTTGTAGATGTTAGGAATGTGTTACGGGGAGTTCTAGGGTGTCATAGGCCATCAGAAGGTTTAGAAAAAATTACAATATTTTTGTTATATGTTTATGGTTTTTTTTCCTTGAAAGAACTGTGGAAAATAGCAATACGGCATATCTGATCAAATTTCGAATTCAACTTGGATTTTGTATTATTATTCTTCTAATATAATTAAAAATCCCAATATTTCCATGCCTTAAACTCTACTACAGGGTATCCCTTAGCCTATCCTTAACTGCTTGCACCTCCCCCATATTTATGTAGCTGTTTTGGTTCCCTCGTCTCATGATATGGATTTCCTAAAGGACCATCAATTAAATTACGCTATCTTTTGTCTGCTTCTGTTTATTCTTTATTCCAACGGTCCGGTTCGGTCCCTTCACTTCACCATTTTGCATGGCAAATTTTATTTATGTGCCTAAAAATATATATGTATGTATGTATGTATGTATGTACGAGTATGCACGTGGTAGATGCCATAAACCTAAAATGATTTCAAGTTATTTTTGCATAACGTTTGTTGTTTTGCTTTTAGTTTTCCATGAGCATAAACATTTTTTATGTCTCATTAAGGTTTTGTTTTCGCTTTTGCTGCTTTCCTTTTTTGTTTGAGGTTTGGGGTTTGGGGGCTTGGCTTATCGGAGGCCATGTTAAAATGTTGTTAACTTTTACTAGCTGCGGCTTTAATTCATTAGTGGAAATGGTCCGGGGAGGCTGATTCCGTACGGAAATGCTTCCCTGTTTTCGACTGGCACATTCCACTTGGTTATGGCACTTGGCCGAGTTATAAAATGTTATCGAGGGCGCAGGTTTTTATGTCTCAGGGTCAGATAAATGTGTTTATAGCGTAATCTTTTATTTTGCCTTTTTGGCTGCCAAGTGCGGGTCCTACACTTCCTCCACTCTGCTGTTTTGTGGTCTTTTATCTTAGGCCTGTGGTTGTGGCTGTGGCGAGGGCTGTTTATGACACGCATACGAAGCGTGGGACGAAGATTTGTCCTGGGATTAGACAGCACGTTAAGAGCTGGTCATTAAGAAGCCAAGAGAGAGAGAGAGAGTCGCTATATATTATGGCTAGGAATTACAAAGTTCAGATATGCAGAGCACATTAATTAACGCAGCCGATGAAGAGGGGTAGCAAATATTTGGTTAGATTTTTCCAAACTGTAGGAGCTCCTTGTTGTCAGCAGCTTAAACAGCTTTTCGTAATTTTCAGCATGTGAAAATTTGTTATTCCCCCCGCAATAATCTGAAAAACTTTACATTCACAGCAAGTTTAGCCAGCTGTCAATTGGTGTGGAGTGTTTATGTCCTTCTTTCTCCTTCTCCCTCCAGCATCTTGCTCTAATCGCTTCTAATAACGCACAAAATTGAAAAACTTATGCGATATCATTGGGGACTCAAGCCGCACGACAAGTGCAGCTGCCCCTAGGGGAGAAGCCAGACCAGAGACCAAACCAAACCAACCCAACCGAACAGAACAGAACCAAACTGGACCCGACAACTTGTGACAACTTAAAGCACATGAGGCGAGGAGGCGAGCAGAATACTATAAGTAGACATAAGGGTGGGGGAAAAATCGAGAAAGAAAAGAAATAAGTAACAAGAAGAAAACTGTCTTGATATGCCCGTAAACACGGCCAGCTGTAGATGCTCCAAGGGCCAGGAACCCGGAACCTCGAACCACTTCCTGGACATGGACATGGATTGAACCTTCGGTGCGGGTGTATTTGCTTTGCACTGTGTCACTTTGGAAATTGTGCAGATTGTCCAGTTACAGGGCGTGTGGCGTCTGTTTGTTTTAATTTCTCTTATCGGCAGGCAGCCCAAGCCCCAGCTCAAGCCCAGGCCCCAGCTTCAGTGCCTGCCCCCCAGTTCCGAGTTCCAATTCGTTTCGAGCTGTGCTCCTTCCACTCGGACTCCCCAGAGCCATACAATTTTAATTGCACAATGGCAGCTCCTTTTGTTTTCTAGCTGCAATTTTTTAAAATGAATTCATGGCCTGACTCGGCTTGGCTCGGCACGGCTGGGGTCTGGGGTCTGAGGTCTGGCCTGGCCTGGTCTGGTCTGGGCTGGTCTGGCGCTCTTTTGTTTGACGTCTCTAAATCCGCAAGGAGATGGGACTGCGTCGAGTACTATTCAACAGGGCAGGAGAGCCGGGAGAGGGGCAGAAGGCGATGCCAGCGAGCTATTTAATTGAAAGTTGCTTTGTGACTCCGCCGGGGTAAGCTAATAAAATGTTTAACTTTGATTTAGTTGAGGGATTTCTAAACTGAATGCACTTTAAGGCCACTCCAACGACTAGCTTGCGCCTCCTCCACGCCCACTAGCAATAAAGATTCATTTGGCAACATTACTCGGGAGTTGTTTTACAAAGTTAAATACGAGTTCGGACTTTGGACTTTCTTATTATAATTATTACGAATGTAAAGGGAGTTACTAAAAACTTGAATATCCGGGGAGCTTTTTTTAAGAATAAAATGAATTTATTTGCCCACTGCCCCCTAAGTCGAATATTCAGAGTTTCTACTGTATTGAACAGAACTGCCCCCAATATTTTATAATTGCATAATCGTTTTCCCTACCTTTATTGGCAGTCAGTAAGCCCCACCCCGCCCATTAGCAATCATAAATTGCTTGTTGCATTGCACGCCAAATAACTATGCAATTTTATTAATTATAACTTTTAAGTTTCCGTGAAATCAGGTTGTGTGAGAGGTCAGGTGCGGCGAGCGCACATACTATGTATGTACATACACGTGTGTGGGTGGCAGACTTTGAGTTGTTCCGGCAACTCCGAATTTGAATTATGAGCAATTAGGTTGGCCAACCACAAGCAAGCAAACTGGTTTTTGCAGCCTGATTAGGGGCTGTGGATGATGGGTGGGGCGTGGGTCGTGGGTCGTGGGTCATGTGTCAACAGGCGGACTGCGACTGCCTCCCAGCGGCTGCTGCACTGGATTGCGGTCAGCTGCATGTGTCGGTGGGGGAGTGCGTGTGTAATGAGGCTTAATTTGTTAAATTCCATGGCTTATAATTGGCATTGGCCAGACCGCAAGGCAGAGCACACCCAGCACCCAGGCCCAAGGCGGCGGGTGGCACTGGGAACTGGGGCAAGTGCAAAGTGTAATTATGTGGTCGCTTGGTCAGCCCTAAACTGCCAGATTTGTTTGCCAGTGCTGGGAGTGCTGTGAGTGCTGTGAGTGTGTTTGTTGGCCTGGCCTGGCCCAAAACCTTAAGCCATGTCTAAGCAAAATGCCATAATTTAAGCCACAGCAGTGTGCGGGCTGGGCTCTCCGCTTATTTCGTTTCGTTTCGTTTCGCTTCCTTTCCATTTTATGGCATTTTTATGGCCCCGAGAATACAAATAAAACCAAGTGCCATTATTTTTACACCTCGCTCGCACTCGCTTTCACACTCACACTCGACGCTGCAAAAGCGCCACAAAATGCACACAAAAATTAAGTTTTGCCAAAAAAAAAAGAAAAAAGAGATGATAAGAGGGAGAGAAACACTCAGAAAATGGTTGCATGGAATTGTTGATACTCTAGCACATTTCGGTCGAGAATAATAAAATACAGAAAATATTTACATTAAAAATAATGCGCTAAATGTAGCATATATTTTGAGAAGGGGTACTAAATAATAATAAATATTAAATTATAAATATTTATAAATAAAATTAAAATTATAATTTTACGAATTTACATGTTGTCGGGGACCTGAGGTACTAAGGTGTTTTTCTGTAGCGATA